TACATATACATATATATACACGTACATATACATATATACACACACGTACATATACATATACACACACGTACATATACATATACACACACACACACACATATATGTGATATATGTTATTAATGATATATGACATTCCGTCGGAAAGAGATGATTGTGAGAACTTGTTCATTATTTGTTCAATAAACAATTCAGCTGTTACAAACAGAAACTGAAAAGTGTATTTCATGGAATCAACATTTGTGTGCGAGTACACAAAAATCAGTACAGTTATTGCAAAAGTACCAATAATAAACAAAGCCGACTCACAACTGTACAATAAAACTGTTACAGCCTCATTTTGTTTTTTCACTAATTGAAAATATTTTAATCACAATAATACAACCTGATGTGCAAGTATTGGGATGACCACTAGATGGCTTCAGATCTCCATAAAATAAAAATCAGCAGAAACATGAGACGTGCTTAGTATGAAGCAATTGCGAGAGTTTTTACTGAGACCATAAAACTACATCTCCCTGATGATGACGACCATGACGATGATGTTAAAGATGATGACGAGTGCTTCACCAGATCTCAAACTGAATGTGCTCTTTGAAGGCTGCTCTGTGCACAATGTTGTTGCTGAAGAGTCTAGAAAGAGACCAAAGCAGAGAGAGCAGACGTCACTCACACAGGACAACATGAATCCACGTGAGCTCAGGCTGTGAATGATTCCTCTGAGAGTCTGAGAAGAAACTCCTTCACTCATGGTGACTGATTCATGTTGGCTCACCGCACACAGTTGATGGAGGGGTTGATGGAGAGCAGCTGGAGTAACACATCAGTCGAAGCATCAGTGATCTGATTGTGACTCAGACTGTAACACAAACACAACATGTGGCTCTAACTGATCGCTGCACATTATATTACTGTAGTGTGTGTGAACAGGCTGATGGTTGTTGGTGCCTCCCAGAGGAGGATCAGTGTGTGACACTCACTCTAGGACTTGGACTTTGTGCAGATGTGTGACGAGAGGGAGCAGCAGCTGGTCAGTGAGCTGACAGTGACTGAGGTCCAGCTCTGTCAGCCCTTCACACGAGTCCAGCATCTGGACCAAAGCCCCGCAGACCCTCTGATCCAGCGTGCTGTGACTGAGATCCAGCTCTCCACCCAGGGCTGTACACAGGGACACCGCCCGCCTCACTGTGTCCCTCTCA